TCTTCATATATTAAGCATTCACTTTCTTTTTTTAAAGAGGTAACAAGTGTTTTGTCTTTAAGATTTTATTTTTAGAGAGAGGGAAGGGAGGGACAGAGAGAGAGAGAGAGAAACAGCAGTTGGTTGCCTCTCTCATGCCCCCAACTGGGGACCTGACCTGCAATCCGGGCATGTGCCCTGACTGGGAATCAACCTAGCAACTTGTTGGTCTGCAGGCCAGCACTCAATCTACTGAGCCACATGAGCCAGGGCCCACCTGGTAACTTCTATAGCTTATGAGCTTGGGGACTTCCTACGTCCTACTCTTCTTTACTCCTCCACTCCTCCACTTTACTCTTGAGGAGATGGAGATCCAGAGACACTATATGCCTTTTCCAATCTCATTGAACAGTTCATTCCAGCTCGGTCTGGAGCCACAGTGCCCCTGGCCAAACTCCCAGATACTAGACTAGTATGAGGACTTGCTTTCCATATGACTCTGTAGATGCTCTGGAAGCAACTGGTGAGCATGGCATGGCCTGTCTTAAGCACCCATACTCCTCAGATCTGTCTTGGTAGGACTTCTCTTGCATCTACCCATGGGCACCAATGTCAATTCTGGCACTGGTCCATGGACTCAGGACACGCCTGTTGGGTGTGGATTCTCAGATCCCACTCACATCTGCTATGAGTGCATCCTCCTCTGGTTTCACGTGAGGCTGAAGTTCCTGCTGAAGGTTTTCCCACACTTGCCACACTCATAGGCTTGTTTCGTATGTGGACCCTCCAGTACACATGGAGGGAAAACATTCCTGACCAAGGCTTTGCCATACTGGGCGTACTTACAGGGCTTCTCCAATGTGTGGTCATTCTGGTCTCCTGCTGGGAAAAACGTTCATTAAGCACTTATAGAAGAAGGAGCGCTGGTAGGGTACTCCTCAGTGTGCACATGCCTATGCTTCCTGAGGGAGCAGTTCTTGCTAAAGGTCTTGCTTCACTGGCTACACTTATAGGGCTTTTCCCCTGTGTGTAAACAACATGTTTTCTGAGAGAGGAGTTTCAGCGGAAGGCCTTTCCTCACTGGTCACATGTTTATGGCTTCTCCCCAGTGTGCACATGCTAGTGCTCCCTAAGCGAGGACTTTTTCCTGAAGGCCTTGCCGCACTGGGCACACATGCAGAGCTTCTCCCCCATGTGGGTCCTCTGGTGCATGATGAAATCCCATTTCTGGATGAAGGCCTTGCCAGTCCCCACATGCATAAGGCTTCTCCCTGGTGCGCATCCTCTGGTGCACTATGAGGTTCCTGTTCACAGTGAAGGGCTTGCCACGGTCCGCACACTTATGTGACTTCTCTGCAGTGGGTTTTGAGGGAAGACAGAGGCTTGAAGTATCTGAGTTATTCCCACACATAGTGAATGGGTGTATCCCATCTCCTCTCCATCTCTCTGATCTCGGTGGGACCGGCATGGTGCTTTGGTGGATGAATGCCTTAAATTCCAAACATTCAGGGGCTAATGCTTGAGACATGTCCAAATGCCCTAGACAGGTCCCTGGGCTCAAGGCAGGCTGACAAAAGGCCATTAACTGTTCCAAGTTCTCTGCTATCAGCCAAAGCCTGGATGGGAATCCCACCACATTTGTAGAAAGGTTGAGAGAGACACTTTTCAAGCACACCAACCCAGATTTACAATCATATGAATGTGGGTCATACTAATAAACAAGATTCTAACTCAATCTGCTTCTAATATTAGGAGAAAACTCCAGAAGCCTATCTAGAAATCTGGAGTCTCCTTAAATAAAATATTAACCACAACCAACACAGTCTTCTACAAGTGGGATTAGGAGAAGCCAGGCCTCAGGAGAAGGAAAAAGGAAGGTTAAACATGCCCGGATTCTAGCAGCCCTTGCAGGACAGCCACATCCCACTAGCCCTTCCAGATCCACTACCAAGAAGACTAAGTGTTTTGTATGTCAAGAGATGGGGCACTGGGCCAAGTAATGTCCAAACCATGACAAGTCATCAAGTTGAGATGTCAAGCACCATGCGGTAAGTGCAAGGGCACTGTGTCCCTCAGTCCAAAGGGCCCCCAGGCCTGAGGCTGAGATTGCCTTGCAAATAGTAACTCAGGACTGAAGCTGCCGCCCCAACTGGCCCCAACTGAACCCAACTGAATAGGTTGCCATTATTGGACTGGAGCCTAGGGAATGCATGGAAGTGGCAGATAGGACAGTAATTTTCTTATTGAGTACTATGGCCCCCTACTCTGTCCTTACTTACATCTATGGACCCCTCTCCTCACAGTCCGGCAGAAAAGCCTACAATCAGGCCTTTCTCTTTTTTAAAAAAAAAAAACATTTAAAAATTTATTTTTAGAGAAGGGAGGAGGGAGAAAGAAGGAGAGAAACATTAGTGTGCAAGGGAGTCCACCAGTTGCCTCTCTCCCACCTTCATGTGGGGACCTGGCCCGTAACCCTGAGAATCACACCAGCAACCTTTTGGTCCTCAGGCCAGGGCTCATTTCACTGAGCCACAGCAGCCAGGACCTCTTTACATTTAAATTGGCAGGTTCACGGAGACAACCAACAACTAACCATGTGCAGACCTCCCTCAGATATTTAGGGACAGTCCTCATTTAGTGAAGCATCAGCAGAGACCTTAAGGGGCCTGCCACTTGAGGGGGGTAGCCTAGAAATCCAATATGTGAATGACGTACTTATCTATTCCCCTACAGAGGACCTGAACCATAAACATATAATACAGACCCTAAATTGTCTTACGCCATTAATCTAGCACAAATACAAAAGGCTTTACAGAAATATAGAAACAGACTTAAGGCTACCAACACAAACAAGTCAAACCAGGAGACATAGTCTATTTACAAAATCTAGAAGAACAACTATTCTAAGTCTCAACTACAATCCACATGAAAGGGTCCACTTCAAGTCCTACGAAACACCCCAACTACAGCAAAGCTCACAGGAATAGCCACTTAGGTCTATCTATCACACATTAAACCTATGTCTTCTAAGTCCCCACAGGTACCATAGCCTGAGACATATGCTTATGAACCCATCAAGGACCTCAAATTCCTCTTCATGAGACAAAAAACCTATTACAGAAAATAACACAACTAGGCCTTAGTGTTGTGTCTCTCATATTTCTAACACTTTCTACCAGACTGTCAATATGCTCAGTCTCCTCCCTGTGAAAGAGATTTTTCTATCCCTCTTGGATTTAACCCTATCAGACAGAGTCCCAGGTCCTCTGCTCCACTAACCCTTTTGTCAACTTGATTGCCTCCAGGGCACAACAATTACTATCATCACCTGGAATCCCAGGCTCTGAACATCTACCATGGATAGGTAGGCACTTCCCTCCACCTTCTCCAACTAACACTTAGCAAGAGGAGGGAACCCAAAGAAGTATCAATGTCCCTTTTACAGCAGAAAGTAGCCACAGAGGTCGTCAGGCCAAAGTCCCCAAATATTTGGATTCCGAATGCTTGAGGAGGAAATATTAGGTAGGATAGTTAGTCAACTAAGGCAGGGTGGTGGAGGGAGACACATCTCACCCAATTGATTCAGCAGTCCTGAGCCCGGTCCAGTCCACTAAGATTGCTAGGCATCCCAAACATTAGAAACAAAGATAGCACAGGACGGGGAGAGTCCTTGAGTCTCTGTGCTGGGAAAGGGAGCCCCTGTAACAATTTTACTGAGACAAAAAGCCTTTACTAGCTGAGAAAGAAAGCCTTTGTAGTCATGTATTATTCCCAAGGTTTAAAAGGGGGAGAAGGGAACCTAGAAACTGACCAAAGTGTATAATCCCGGAACCCCAATAGTCGGTGCACTCGGATTAGGCTGAGTGCCCACTTGTGTAGCCTGCACTCAACTGTATAGAACTTACTAACAGCTTTATTTCCTCCATACATAGGGCATTCAGACTAGGCGGGGTGCCAGCTTGCAGCATGGTGTTATATGTGTTTCCTAAACAAACTTTCTACCTCATTTCCACTATACATGTTTGTCTCTTGCTTGAATTCCTCTCGCAACTGGGGGTGGGGGGCTGGACTGAGGTTTCTCCTCAGTAACAGAAGTTTCTAGTTTTTGTGACCCTTGCCCTAAATAGCAGACATGTAGGTTATTTACAAAAAGTGAGCTTTTGGAGAGTCTGAGATCCACGTGGAGAGGCCCAAACTCATCTTGTAAAGAAAGGGTCAGGATTTCCCCAGGGGGCAATCAGCACCCAATGACCTTCCTGTTTCATTACTACTGAAAATGCTTCAGTTTATCTTGCAGGACAAAAGAAGGATTAAAGTGAAAAAAGCTCACCTAGTTGCCTCAAACCTTGAAGTATCCGGTCACCTGGGGTGTCTGGGGTGCATTACAGAAAAGCAGGGAGTGGCCAAGTCCACTCAAGAGAAATACCTGCCTCCCCTCATCCCAGAGCTTTTCTGCCATTTGACTAATGGGGTTAACTTTCTGAAGACAGAATCTTTATAAATTAAGTGACATGTATTTATTTTTATTGACTGATTTTAGAGAAACGGCAGATTAATTTTTTTGTTTCATTCATTCACCCATTTATTGGCTGATTCTTGTAATTGCCCTGGCTGGGGATCCAACCCCCAGCCTTGGTAAATGGGGATGATGCTCCCACCCACTGAACCACCAGGAGGGTCCCAGTTTCAGGTCAGGTGCTATTAGTATACTATGCTCTGTCTGCCCACTGGACCATTTCAGTAAATTTGCAACTGTACAGAAGTAGGAACCAGCCTAAGTACTGATCGCCACCAGCTCTCACCCTTTGGGTGAAATGCAGGAGTGGACAAGGCCCAGGGACCAGAGCAGGGGCTTCAGGGGCCTCAGTCAGCAGACATTTACCAGGGTTCACAGAAGCATCTTAATAGAGTAACAACCTGTGCAAACGTAGTAGTATTTCTTCCACTGCTCTGTGTGTGTGTGTGTGTTTAAAGTTAAATGTAAAAGTATATAGATACACTTTTTAAAAACATAAAGCATACCCTCCTACAAAGATGGGTTGGTGGTTCCCTGTCTTTGGACACCTAATAACTGGAGGCCAAGAAAAACTGACTTGGAGAAAACTGCCAGCTTGCTCCCTGTAGGCTGAAGAGCAAATATCACACATGGGGGAAAAAGCAAGCAACATGCACATGAAAAGATTTAATTTAGCAATAAATGGGCATAAAGTCTCAATTACGTAGGTGAGGAAGTCCTAGAGATCTGCTGTACAACATTGTCCTCTAATTAATGGTACCATTTTGTACACCTAAAATTGTATTCAGGGGGTAGGTCACATGCCCCATCCTGGTGGCCCAGATGGTTGGAGCACCGTCCCATCCACCAAAAGGTTTCAAGTACAATTCTTGGTCGGAGTATATATCTAGGTTGCAGGTTCCATTCCAGGTCGAGGTGCATATGGGAGGCAAATGATAAAATGTTTCTTCCTCTAAAATTAATAAACATATCCTCTGGTGTGGAATAAAAAAATAAAGATGGTAGAACTCATGTTATGAGTTTTGCCCACAAGAAAACAAAAATGCCACTTTAAGGGCAAAACAGTATTAAAAATGTAAGCTTTGCACTGGCTGGTGAGGCTGTGTGGATTGAGTGCCGGCCTGTGAACGAAAGGGTCATCGGTTCGATTCCCAGTCAGGACACATGCCTGGGTTGCAGACCAGGTCCCCAGTAGGGGGCGCGTGAGAGGCAACCACACATTGAAGTTTCTCTCCCTTTCTCCCTCCCCTCCCCCTGCCTAAAAATAAATAAATCTTTTTTTAAAAATGTAAGCTTTCTAGTTTTCATAGTGCCCCTATCATGTAAATTTCACCAAAGTTGTATTTCTTCAAAAAAAAAAAAAACCCCCAAAACACACACACACAAACACAAAGGAGAGTGCACACTAGATAGTATTGTCAATTGTTTGTTTTTTCATTGAATGCTGTATTTCAGAGCATCTTCCAATATCAGTGTCTTCAGTTTTTCCTCACCACTTCTTACCTAGAGAGATCTTAATGAATTTAGACAACCTGCTAAAGATGGATCCATGGGTGTTTCCAGTATTTTGCTATTCCAAGCACAGCTCCACTGAGCCCTGGACTGAGAGGACACTGTTCTGTCCCCTGTTATCTATAGAGCTGTCTTACCTTTGCTGACTGGGGCTGTGATCCCATGTCACCTTCTGAGAAAGGGCCACTGCCAAAGCTGAAACAGCTCTTCCCTTCACTTCCTACTCATCACCTCTGATCGCACTCAGAAATGAGCAGCAAGGCCTCCATGAGAGGGGCTGTGGTTACCTCACTGCTGGACTCCCAGTGCCTGGAACAGTGCCTGGCACAGAGGAGGTGCTCAGACACTTGTTGAGTGACTTACTGTTCACCTAGAGCCTCTTGTCTCTCGAGATTCCTTCTTATCAGAGGATGCAGAAATCCTAGGTCTTCATGTATTAGGCATCTACTTTCTTATGTCTTTAAACAGCCTCTCCACCACCAAGCAGGAAAGAAAACAACTCAGGGTACTTCTGGACCCAGTTCCCTCCCCTCACTGACCACACTCACATGTCACATGAATCTCCCTGTGCCACATCAAGTCCAGCAGTGAAAAAAATGCCAGCTTCACACTTGCCTCTCTTTCTCCTCCACTTCTCATTCATCTCAGTCCCTCTGGAAAGGTGATCACCTGTAAGGAAACATTCCCTTCTACGTAGCTCTTGAAAGAACCTTCGAGGAGAGGAAAATTCCCATGACATTTCATGCCATGGGGAATGCTTATTGGGTAAATGAGCATCCAGGATAAAGACTACAGGAAATCTATTGAGCCTCTTGATGCTACTGGTACGGGCATGTATGTGGTGGCGAGATGGATAGATGTAATATCCCAACACTATTTCTCTCTGGACATGGAACCCAGCAAACCCCAGAGAAAACTGTTCTGATAACAGGCATGAGACATCCCCAAGCCAGGAATCCAGGGCTGTGAGGAGCAGATGGCCTGGGACAGGCTTGTTCTGTGCCAGAGGACCTGTGGGGTATTCATGCTTCTTCCCCCAAATCGACACTCTTCTGGACAGGACAACCAGCCCTTGCATCTTTTGCATCTGATGACTGTTTAGAATGACATTGGTCTCAATTAAAAGTTTTATTCAAAAAAAACTTTTTTAGCAGACTACTATGGGGAACTTTGGTATCTGTTGTGACTACTGTTACTTCCTATTCCCAAAGTGTATTTTTTCTCCATGGGAACTGCCTGGTGACTTCGATAGTTTATGAGCTTGGGGCCTTCCACTTGGTGTTACATGGAAACTAGGGATTGTATGTGGGGAAATGAGCAAACACACAGATAGTGACAACCTGACCTCTGGACTAGACCCAAGTATAGGTGACAAAGTGACAAAATCCCTTGCAGCCCACCTCACCCTGTTCTTCTCTCCTCCCCCTCCTCCACTTTACTATTGAGGAGATGTAGACCCAGAGACACTAAATGCATTGTTCAAGCTCATAGGATAGTTTACGCCAGCTTGGTCTGGAGCCACAGTGCCTCTAGCCATGCTCCCAGATACTGGACCTATAGCAGGGCTTGATTTCCACACGGCCCTGGGGACGCTGCAGAAGCAAATGGTGAGCATGGCATGGCCTGTCCCCACTGTCCATATTCCTACTACATGTCTGGGCAGGACTTCTCTTGCGTCCTACCCGTGGGCTCCAATGTCATTTCTGGTAGTGACCTATGGGCTCTGGACCTGCCTGTTGGGTGTGGATTGTGAGATTTCCCACTCCTCTACTACATGTGCATCCTCTTCTGGTGTAGCGTGAGGATGAAGTTCATGCTGAAAGTTTTTTCTGCACTTGCCACACTTGTAGGACTTGTCTCCCAGGTGGATCCTGCAGTGAATGGAGAGGAAGAAGTTCCTGAGGAAGGCTTTGCCACACTGGGTGTACTAATAGGACTTCTCCACAGTGTTGTTGGTCTGGTGCTCCTGCAAGGGTAAGTGTGCCAGAAAGCGCTTCTTGCAGATGGAGCACTGGTAGGACTATGCCCTGGTGTGCACATGCTTGTGCTTCCTGAGTGAACTGTTCTTGCTAAAGGCCTTGTCACACTGGCTGCACCTGTAGGGCTTCTCCCCGGTATGCACACGCCTGTGCTTCCTGAGAGAGGATTTGAGTCTAAAGGCCTTGTCACACTGGCTGCACTTGTAGGGCTTCTCCCCAGTGTGCATGCGTCGGTGGTCCCTCAATGAGGAGTTTTGCCTGAAAGTCTTGCCACACTGACCACAAGTGTATGGCTTCTCCCCAGTGTGCATGTGCCGATGCTCCCTGAATGAGGAATTTCGCCTGAAGGACTTGCCACACTGGTCACAAGTATATGGCTTCTCCCCTGTGTGTGTTCTCTGGTGCACAATAAGGTACTCGTTTCGGCTGAAGGCCTTTTCACAGTCAGCACATGTGTAGGGCTTTTCACCGGTGTGCATCCTCTGATGTACAATGAGGCTCCTATTCCGGCTGAAGGCCTTCCTGCAGGTATTGCACACGTACGGTTTCTCCCCAGTGTGCGTCATCTGGTGCACATTGAGGTTCCCTTTCTGGCTGAAGGCCTTGCCGCAGTCCCAGCACTCATACAGCTTCTCCCCAGTGTGTGTCCTCTGATGAACAACGAAGCTCCTTTTCCAGCTGAAGGACTTGCCGCAGGTACCACACACATATGGCTTCTCCCCAGTGTGCATGCGCTGATGGATGGTGAGGTAAGACCGCAGGGTGAACTGCTTCCCGCACGTGGCGCAAGAGAAAGGCTTCTCCCCAGTGTAGATTCGTGGCTGCTCCTTCCGGGATGAGTTATAGGTGAAAGTCATGCCACAGTCCCCACACTTATAGGGCTTCTTCTCTGCACGGAGTCTGTGGGGAGGATAGAGGCTTGAGGTACCTGAGTGCTTCCCACACATGGTGAACAGGTGTGACTGTGCTCCTTTTGGTCCCTCCAGTCTCGGTGGGGCTGGCATGGGGCTTTGGTGCACAAATGCCTTAAATTCACAACATTCAGGGGATAACACTGGAGACATGTCCAAATGTCCCAGACAGACCCCTGGGCGCCCCTGTCCCCATTCCACCCAGTCACTCTTTGTCCGCGCTCCTTCACAGGCATAACCCCTGGCACCATTCCTTGTGGATCCTTCTGCAACCACCAGAACAGCAGGTCTGCCTCCCCAACTGTCCTCCTGTGGGTCCGAGTCTTTCATGGCAGGTCTAGTCTCCAAGTCTGAAGGGAGGGGGAAACAGATGACAATACATGTGTCGTTAACAACACTAGGAGGGAGGATCTTTCCAACACACAATAAGGCACAGCCTGATAGGGAAAAAACTGTTGTGGGGACAGAGGGAGTAGGGAAGCAATGAATGAGACAATATGTTGTAGGGAGGTGAGCAGAGACCAAGAAAGGTCCCCTTTGGAGTGGGCGCAAAGGTGGCCAGTGTAGCTCAGAGCTGGGCAGATAACCATGAAATGAAAAAGGAAGAAAGCTGGATTTGGAAGAGCTGATCAAAGGATCCCACCAACCCAGTGAGGGTGCCCTGCACACGGCTCCTTCCAGGCCTCCTCCTGCATGCCCACAGCCAGCTGGGACTCTCAAACCATTGACTATTATTAGAAAGGATAATGTAAGAGCTGACTCCCACGTAGGTGTGCTGGTTGCCCTCTGTCTCCTCATCGGCCCGCCAAGCCCCTGCCTTACTATGCTGCCCAGACCTTCCAGCGGGCTCCAGACCTGTCCTCTTTGCACACACATCCCGCCCCACCTGCTGACCGCAGCCACTCCAGTCCTCTCCTCTGTCCCATGGTTCCTCCATCTCTGTTTCAGTCTGGGGGGTTGTCCCGAGTTCCAGACTCTGCATATGGTTCATCCCAACATTTGAAAACTGTGAGATCTTACACAAAAATCTCATTAAAAAAGTTAAGGTCCAGCCACAGGGAGCCCTTCTTCCTAGGGAACAACAAAAAAAGTGGGAGTGCTAAGCAAGTGTGCAGGCACTAGCACAGACCGACCACCCTCTGCCTAGGAGTATGGGGCTTGAGCCTCCCCTTTTACTGCCAAGCCGCCATTGAGTCTGACGGCCTGCAGCGTTCACTAGCCCGTGGGTTCCTCTCTTGCAAACTCTTGCAGCCTGGCTTGGGTTCCTCAGCAGAAAACCGAGGATGAAAAACAGGTCTCTGAGTAGTAATTAATTACCCATTTATTAATAAATACTTTATGTATTATTTTTAATAGGGCACCACTCATATATCATTTGCTATTTATTATTGGCAATAGACAGCTATCGTCATCAATAATTAAACAGTAAGTACACCATGACTAAGGCTGTGGGTGACGCATAGATTGGATGATGAGCCTGCTCGACTGAAGGCACCTTCAATTTGTGCACCAAAGCCCCACTGATGTGGCACCACAGCCCTTCTTCCTCGGATGTAACAAAAAAAGCAGGAGTGGTAAGCAGCTGCCCCCCTTACCCCACTTAAGTCCCCACTGGCCCCACAACCCCTGAGTTTGAGATCCGTCTCGTGAGTCACAGGAGCCTGGATTTCAGTCTCTGCTCTATGCTGACACCTCCTACATGGATGCCCCCTCCCAGATCCCCTCTCTGAGCTCTGCTGGGGAATAATCCAAGGCCTACTGGGTGCCCCTCTTGGGTATCGCAAACCTAATGCACTGTATGTGAGTAATAAAAAGAGAGAAAAGCTCATCAAACAGACTTAGCAAAGTCAGACACACAATGACTGATACTGTATGAATCCATTCTAATGAGGCGACTAGAACCATCACATTGACAGAGAGGAAGGAGGACATGGGTGCCAGGGTTTGGGGAGTGGAATGGGAAGCTACTGTTTAGAGGGGACAAATCGTCAGCTGGGGACGATTAAAAGAGCTCTGGAGATGGACAGTAGTGATGGTTGAAAAACAATGTGAATGTACTTTATGCTACTCAACTGTATACCTAAAAATAGTTAAATGGTCAATTTTATGTTATTTATATTTTGCAACCATTAAGAAAATAAAATTTTTTTAAATTAAAAAAAATAGCCTGGACCTCTAGGGACAGGAGATGAGCTGGAGATTTAATTCATCTACCAACGCTCAGTGACTTAATTGATTATGATTCTGTAATGAAGCGTCCATAAAAACTCTAGAGGACTGGGTTTGGAGAACTTCTGAGTTTGCTAATATGTGGAGATTCAGTGAGAGGGGCTCCCTTGGAGAGGGCTCCCTATACTTATCTTCCATCTGGCTGTTCCTTTTACAGTAAACTAGTTATTTCTGGGTTCTGTGAGCTGTCCAAGAAAATTAATTGAACCCAAGAAGAGGATTGTTAAAACCTAATTTATAGGCAGTCGGTCAGAAACACAGGTGTTCAATAAATGTTTGCAAAATGAATGAATAAATGAATAAGTGAAACTAAGTACCAGAGACTCACATATGCTGATTCAAAATGTGGCGCCCATAACATACCTGGACCTTCTGCTTCTATTGAAAAAAGGCCCAAATAAATCCAGCTATTTATGGGGACTTTCTGCCATCAGACAACTCAGGGGTCCTGCTGTTCTACCTTGTAGCTCCACTATCTCACTTCTGGGTTTCCATGTTTGCTGCTGAATGGTAAAGGAAGCATGGAGATCTACATACTGGCTCCTGCCTAACTACAAATGGATGTCCCAGAAGGAGAGAAAGACAAGATGTGAGTGAGCACTTTTAGTCACTCCCATAAGCTGCCGTATAGTAGGTGCTCAATAAAACACAACTGTTATAATTTAAATGCCACCGACAGGAGAGCAGCTTGAACTCGAACAGACCGATGTACCACCACTGCCACCGAGGCAGCAGCAGCCTCCCCCGCTCCCTACACTGTCCGCTCGGTGGGAGGAGGGCCTCAGGAGTCAGACCAAACCCTCCAGCACCATCCCAGCACCTTGGGGATCAGAGGCAACACCTTCCCACCCTCCTGACCTTCTGTGCCATCCAGCCCCACTCGTCCTGTGGTTCCCTTTAATTTCCTGGTCCATGTCCAGTGATTCCTGCCTCAAGGCCTTTGCACCTGCCCTTCCCTTGGCCTTCCCATGGACGCTCATCCTCGAGCCTCAGGGAGCCTTTGTCCCCCACAGGGAGTCTTCTCTGTCCATCCTACGATGGAAGGAAGACCCCCCAGCTGTCCTCTCATCTAAGTCATTGTGAGAGACCCTTAGCGTGCTCTTCTCCAGTCTGTGCACTGCCAGCTCCTTCATAGTGTCCAGCACATGGTAGGCACCTGATAAACCTTTACCAAGGGTTAGCCATGTACTAGCATGGTATAAAGTAGCCCTCACCGCATATGAGTAGGTGCTGCTAAGATTACATAATTATCTCTCCATACCATGCCTCTCTCCTGTCTTAGAGGGTGCATAAAAATTGTATTCTCTTTAAAAAAAAAAACCAGAACACCAATTATACAGATGGGGAGAAACCAAAGCTCAGAATGGAGCCACACCCTCAAGGTCACACAGCACATTCTATCTTGGGTCCCATTCCTGAGTCACTGTCTGTCCTCATGTCACAGTCCCATCCTAGAGTAAAGGATTTGACAAGTCATAAGGTAGAGTGATCCTAGTTTCATGACCCTGAGATGTGGGGGTGATGCCAGATGTCAGAGCAAGGTGGTGGCCTGGGACCTGGAGACTGAGGGTAACTTTCCAGACAGAAGATGGAGAGTCATAGTGGGTGTGTTTGGGGCCCATGGGTCCGAGATACACTGGGGACATAACTGGCCTGTGGCTGCAGAAATTGGAGAGAAGAGTCTTGGTTGTGAACATGGCCTGAAGCACAATCTCCAAAGAAAATAATTGATAAACTGGACTTCATCAGATTACAAACACCTGCTCATCAATGAATGGTGCTCCAGCATCTGGGTATGCATGTTCAAAAGAGTGACGATATATGGTGATCAAAGGTGATGTGACTTTGGATGGCGGGCACCGAATATAACATATGGATCATATATCACTAAAAATACTTGAAACCTATAGGATCCTATTAGCCAATGTCACCACGATAACTTTAATTTAAAAATAGTGATGTTAGCCCCTTTTACATCATTCACAACAATCAACTCGAAATAACCCAAAAACCTAAATAAAGAACTAAAATTCTAAAACTCGTAGAAGAAACAGGAGTAAATCCTCACGGCCTTTGGTTAGGCAATAGTCCCTCAGGTGATACCAAAAGTACAAGAACAAAATAAATGAACTGGACTCCATCACCATTAAAAATGTGTGAGTTCCAAATGTCTGTTTATCAGAAACAGCATAACCCCCATGGCCTACCCTCTATATTTACTGGATCGCACCCCAAGCGACTTTTTTTTTTGTTTCCCAGAATGAAAAAAGTCCTCAAAGAAAAACATTTTGCCCATATGGAAGAGAGGAAACAAAAAATGGCAGAAGCACTAAAAGCCATCAAAACCGACGAGTTCCAAAATTGTTTTCAGCAGTGGAAAAAGTCTCGATACATGTATTACATCAAATGGAGAGTTTTTGAAGGTAACTAAAATTTAAACATGTTAGAATAAAAACACAATTTTTTATAAATAAATTCATTTTTGGAGGGATCGCTCCTCATATACAAATGTCAAAATACATCAAATTGTTCACATTAACTGTGTGCAGTTAATTGTAGGTCAGTTAAACCTCCACCAAAGCTATAAATGAAATGGGACCGTACTCTAGTTCTGAAAGTTAGTGTTTTTCCTGAACAATATTATCAAGGGGCATCTTTCTGTGTCGGTGACTACCTCATCTTTGAAGAGCGCCATGATTTCCATGATATTGATACACCCTGATTTGTTAGGTCAGTCTTGTCGGTGGGCATCTAGGACATTTCTCTAGATTTTTCTTCCTTTGAAAAATTCTGCACACTTACAGGAAAAATTTTAAATGCTATATTCTAGAAATGGAATTGTTTAAAATTTGGTCCTTGGAAATTGTTAAAATTTGGAAGACAAACTGTCTTCCAAAAGAGTTGTCCCAACTTTATGCTCCTAAAATGAAGAGTCCTTTCCCTATACCCTCATAATACAACAGGCTGCTGTTATTCTTTTTTTTTTTTTAAGCCTCAGCTGAGGATATGATTAGAGAGGGAAGAAGCAGGTGGAGAGGAAGAGAAAAACTTTAATGAGAGAGAGAAACATCAATCAGTTGCCTCCAGCATGCACTCCACCCAGAGAACAAACCTGCAACCTAGGTATATGCCCTGACAGGGAATCGAACCAAGAAACTTCCGGTGTACAGGAGGAAACTCCAACCAACTGAATCACATCCAGCCAGGGCTGTTATTCTTTTTCAAGAATTGTATTTCTGTGACTCAATTTGTATTTCTTTGACTAGTAGTAAGGTTTAAAACTCTTTTGTTGCTCTGGCTGGTGTGATTCAGTGGACTGAGTGTCAGCCTGTGAATTGAAAGGTCACTGGTTGGATCCATGGTCGGGCAAATGCTTGGGTTGGTTGCAGGTTAGGTCCCGAGTTGGAGGCATGTGAGAGGCAAGAGATTGATGCTTTTCTTGCACATCGATGCTGTTCTACCTTTATTTCTCCCTCCACCTCTCTAAAAAAAAAAAAAAAAAAAAACAAATTCTTTAAGTTTGTCAAAAATGTACGAGGCTCATTATTACTTGTCTAATTTCCCTAACATTCCTTTAAGGCTGGCCCCACCACGCTCGATCCTCTCCTGTACTTCCTTCACTCTAGTAATTACACTTAGTCTAAGAGCACTGGATCAAACACACAAACCTAATTCTGGTCCCTTCTTGTCATTGATTTAATAAAATGAAATAAAATAAAAAATAAAATTTAAAAAATCTTTTATAAAGTATAGCTTCGTGCATTTCTACATCTGTGAATTCCATGCGCATAGGCAGGATCCATCTCTCCATCATGCAGTCTTTTTCTTGTTTATTCCTAAGAGCTCTTTATGTATTTATAATCCTCTGTTATACATGCAGTAAATAACTTTCTCCACTTTATCAAGTTAATTTTTAGTTTTGAGTAATTTGAATGTTCTACCAAGTATATCTGTCCATCTTTTTTATTTCTGTGTCATCCTGAGGTGACAGGCGGATGGGGAGTAATGCAGTGAAACTGCCCCCTTACCCAGCGAGACCAGGTTCCAGTAGGTCTCCATCATCACGTCCCTGTACAGGTCCTTCTGCGCAGGCTTCAGCTGCTGCCACTCCTCCGGGGTGAAGTCCACAATCACATCCCTGAACGCCACCGACCCCTGTAACAGGAAGCGCACACCACTCACCACAGGGCCCTCCTCACAGAGGTCGGGAGACAGGGCCAGAAGAGTCAGGAGGATCAGGGAAGGCCCACAGGATGCACATGATGTAGTGTCAACAAGCTGCAGAGCTCAGAAGGGCCTGACCACTCAGTGACCTCCGTGCCTAAGTACACTGGATGGTCCTCAGATAGACAAGTAAAATATGGGGCTGTTCACCAGGAAGACAACCAAACCAGTTAAACAATGGGCAAAGGGCCTGCATAGACACTTCTCCAAAGAGGTCATACACATGGGCCAAAGATGCATGAAAAAATGCTCCCTGTCATTCATCATCAGAGAGTTACGAATTAAAACCACAATGAGATATCACCTCATACCTGTCAAACATGAACACCTGTAACAGACCCACAATCTGGTCAATGTAATTGTGACATGTGCCTGAGCAGCAGCAGCTCTAGGGTGTGTCCAGGAAGCTGGAAGCTGTGACCTGGGGTTGGGTCCTTGGTGGGAGATTCCAGATGGGGGCAGGTGGGTCAAGACCTGAGGCTTAAAAGGGCAGATGCAGCACTGAGGACGTAGACACCATGACCCTGTGCATGAAATGAATGTGGATCAGCACATGGTGGATGATGAGATGACATGATGACAACAATCACATCACCACAGCAGTAATGACACCTGTCACTCACTAGGTGGTTCCTCGGTGCCAGGTTTTAGTCTAAGCGATGTTACTGGTTCAGTTTCGTGTTGAGTTCTTGTGTTGAAGTGCTAACCCCCAGCTCCTCAGCATGGGACCTGATTTGGAAACAGGGTCATTGCAGGTGGAAACAGTTAAGTGGAGGTCACACTGGAGAATGGTGGCCCCTAAGGCGATAGCACATCAGTCCTTATAAAAAGGACAAGTTTGGACACAGAGACACGCACACAGGGACACGTCACGTGAAGACAGGAGTTACGGTACCACAAGCCACAGGACCAGCAGAAGCTGCGAGAGATACTGGGAACAGACCCATCACTGGTGCCTCATAGGGGGCACTACCCTGCGGATGCTTTGGTCTCAGACTTCCGGGCTCCAGAACTGTGGGAAAATAGATTCCTCTTGTTCAAGCCTTCCCATCTGTGGTGCTTTGTTAGGGCAGCCCAGCGCTCAAGCAGAGTAGCATATCGCTCATGGACCATGAACTGTGGCTCACGCTTCCCAAGAAGAGGCTTCACCCGCAGGCAATCCCTCTGTGTTCCAAGTGCCCACCAGGGACTCTGGGCTCAACTTGGCTTTCTCTGTCTTGGGGCCATGACCACAGGATGAAGGAGCAGTAAAGGGCAGTCAGTGTTTAACAGTCTGGGCTCCAGAGTCTGGGACAAAATCCTGGCACTGCCCCATACTGTCTGCTGTTTCCTTGGACAACTAACTGTATTAACCTTTCCGAGCTTGTTTGTTCAGTGGACTTCCTTACAACGCCCCTCTCTGTAGCTGTTGCGAGGTTAAAGGAAGTCATGCATATGTGATTCCACCCTGTGGTCTGGCTGCAGGAAGCTCTCAGAAATGGCAACTACTACGGTTATCATTAGATTAATTGGACATTTCGTGTATACCTTGTATATAGTTCTTATTATTAATACTATTTTATTTATTATTATTTGATTCTTTGCCTCATTCATCCTTTGGGAAAACCCAGTTAATAATTTTTCTTTAACCACTTTATTGAGGTATGACTGGCATACAATATTATTAGTTTAGAAGAAAGTACACACCTTTGAAATCATTAACACTAACAAGGCCACAGACTCATCTACCACCTCCTAGAGTTTCTTCCTGTACTCCTTTATTTTTTTAATTATTTCATATTAATTCTTTATTTTTTTAAAAGATTTTATTTTTTTTTATTTTTAAATTTAAAAAAAGATTTTATTTATTTATTTAGAGGGGAGAGGGAGACAGAGATACATCAATGTGTGGTTGCCCCCGTGCTCCCTGCCATGGGGACCTGGCCCACAACACAGGCATGTGCCCTGACTGGGAATCGAACCAGTTACCCTTTGGTTCATAGGCCGGCACTCAATCCACTAAGCCACACCAGCCAGGGCATAATTTTTTAAATATAGCTTCTGCTGAAAGTCTTATCTAAGACTTACCTGACTAATGAACTAACTCAATAAAATTTTTACCAGGCAGGCTGCATGCTCTGAGCCTAGACTGGGGCAAGCTGAACAACAGAGATGGTCCTGGGAGTCTTAAGAGACCATCTCGTACAACATGGGTGTGGGAGGGGAGGCACAGGGGCCCTCCTAGGAAGAGTCTGGAGATTCTCCTAGAAATGGGGTTTCCCTCTAACTGTGACAAAGCCCTCTGAGTTGCCTACATGCATATGTCTGAGGCCCCTCATTCCAGGGCTCATTTCTTCTGGATTCCTGTCTAATGGTACAAACAACTTCCCCACAGGAAAAACATGACCCACTTCTGAAGGCTGAAATCAGGCTCAATTATTGTTTATACCTCACCTGAGGATATACTTACTGATTTTAGAGAGAAAGGAAAGGAGGGACAGACGAAAAGAGAGAAAAGCATTGATCAGTTTGCCTCCTGCATATAATCTCATCTAGGAATCAAATCCTCAAACTTTTGGTATACAGGAAGATGGTACAACCAACTGAGAACCAACCAGTCGGGGCAGGCTCTCTTTTTAAAAAAATCAGAATATATTTACATGAGAAGTGATTAAGAAAAAAAATTGAACCCCCACATCCCAACCATACTGAAATGGTAACCATTGGCATATCCTAAACAATGCTGGTAAAAGAGAAAACCAAAGCAACCATCATGGAGAAGGTAATAGTGGAGACATCACTGTGCAGCCGCCTTGGAAAACAGTCATAGACTATTGCTTAAGTGGTTAAATATACCGGTATTAAAGGAAACAAACATTCTGCTCCTACACCTCAGATAAATGAGCTCAAATAAAAAAACTGCAAGCACGTGTTCATAGCAGTATTACTAATAACCAAAAAATGAAAACAACCCAAATGACCACAATATGATAAATGAGTAATACATGGTCTACCTGTAAAATGGAATGTTAGTAATCATTAAAAAGGACACCTGCTACAACACAGATGAACATAAAAAATGTGAAGCTCAGTGATAGTAGTCAGACACAAAAAGCACGTTGTGTGATTCCATTTTTAAGGAATGGCTTAGCTAGCTCAAGCATTGTCTGTACACCCGAGGTTGTAGGTTCTGTCCCTGGTTGGGGGCACATATGGGAGCCAACCGATTGATGTTTCTTTCTCATATCAATGTTTCTCTCTCTCCCTTCTTCTCTATCTAAAATTTATAAACATATCTTCCAGTGAGGATTTAAAAAGAAAAGAAAAGAAAAGAAATGTCCAGAATAGGCAAATACAGAGGCAAAAAGTAAACGACTGATTGCGAGGGGCAGGGAGTTGATGGGGAGGAATGAGGGCTGTGGTTCTATCCGGGTTGATAAAAACACAGGGCGGGGCAAAAGAAGGTCTACAGTTGTTCCTTTGGAAAATAACACGATAATTAATAAATAGTGATACAAGGATAAACTCGGTGTTTCAGGTACCCACAACTGTAAACCTAATTTTGCCCCACCCTGTATTCTGAAATTGATTATGGTGATGATGCACAACCAAAAACCAATGAATTGTACAAGTTGTGGTGGGTGGGGTGTATCTCAATAAAGATGTTATATAGAGGACATGACAAACCAAAGCTCACGGGTAAGGGAACTGACATGTTTATAGAGCAAAACAAATTCTAAGTGGATAGAAAAGATTCAAATGTTCACTGTTACCACCCTAATGATAAATGGAAAAAAGGAAACATGTAAGTGGCAAGTGGCCTGAAGATAGAGAAATGCTTTCTCTGCTTAAAAAACAATGGGAGACACCAGAGTGAGGGAGACCAACAGACTGTACTTTAAAAATAGGCAATTCTTTTGGATTTTCAAAAAATGTAAAATAAGTTCATACCCTGACTGGTGTGGCTCAGTTTGTTGGGCAATATCCCACAAAGCAAAAAGTTGCCAGTTCAACTCTTGGTCAGGGCACATGCCTAGGTTGCAGGTTTCGTTCCCAATTAGCGTTTGCATGAGAGGCTACCAATTGACGTTTCTCTCTCACATGGATGTTTCTCTCCCTCTCTTTCTCCCTCCCTCCCCCTTGCTCTCAAAAATAAATAAATAATGTAATTTATTTCTTTTTTAAAAAGATTTTTATTTCTTTATTTTTAGAGATAGGAGAAGGGAGGGAGATGGAGAGGGAGAGAAATATCACTGTGTGGTTGCCTCTCACACACCCCCTACTGGGGACCACCTAGTCCACAACCCAGACATGTGCCCTAGACTGGGAATCTAACCTGCAACCCATTGGTTCGCAGGCCGGCCTTCAATCCACTGAGCCACACCAGCCAGGGCTAAATACAGTCATTTTAAAAAAATAAAATAAGTTGTAAAACAAAAAGCAAACCAGTAGAATATTTGCCACAAATATGTACACACATACTCACTCAATCACACTCTATTTATAAAACATTCAAGAATGCTAAGATTTCTGTAGACTGGCACAGCATAGGATAGATAATTTGTCCATCCACGGAAATGGCCAATAAACATTTTCTAAAAGTCAAACCTCACTAATACCACAAGTGATGCTACTCAGAAAGAGATCACGTGACATCAGCTCATCTACCATGCAGAAGGTTTATTATACCACTTGCCGTTTATATCATATGAGTACAATAACCACCAAACAGTGGTCAACTTGAAACAGTTGGCTGGTAGGAGTATAATCCATTCCAACCAAGAACAATGAAGACTTCTGAAAGGCCTTAAAAACATCGACCCCATCCTTCTTCTGCAGGGAATTGCCCCTAAACAATCATACAAAATGCAGGAGGAAAAGTCATTCCTTTCCCTGGCTGGGAAGCTCAGTTCATTGGAGCATTGTCCTGTGCATCAAAAGGTCGTGAGTTCAATCCCGGAGTTAGTCTCATGCAGCAAGCAACTAACTGATGTCTCTATCACCTTCATCTCTCTCTCCCCTCCTCTCTCTCTAAAAATCAATGAACATATACTTTGGTAAGGATAAAAAATAAAAAGATTTATGCCCAGCCATATTTATATAATTTATTGATTTTAGAGAGAGGGAAGGAGAGAGGGGGAAGAGAGAATGACATTGAGAGAGACATCAATTTGTTGTTCCACTTATTCATGCATTCATTGGCAAATTCTTGTATGTGTCCTCACTGGGGATAGAACGAGAAACCTTGGCCTATCAGGACAATGCCCTAACCAACTGGACTACCCGGCCGGGGCCATGCAGTACATGACCACCAAACATAATGCCGGGGTATTATGTGTTTTAATGTAAAATATTTCTCACATAAAAGGAGAGCCACCCACAAAAACATCACGGCAAAAGCTGGGGACAGGCATAGGTCCCTCCCTACAGGCGTCCTCCTCCCGTCACCTGGGCATTCAGTGCCACCTGCCCACTTCTCAAGGCCCTTTGTCTAGCACATGCTGCCCAGGCCTCTGTCACACTTGATGAAACATGTTTAAGCTACCAATTCCTAAGTGCCTATAGGTGTCTCCCAAGAGACCTGCCCCCAGAGTAGGACAAGTCACTCCTGAGCTCTCCTGTCCCCTGCGGTTGACAAAAGCCATTGTCAGGACAGTAATCTCCCTTCTCAGAGTGGACACAACCCACACGAGAACAGGCTGGGGTTTGGGCCCTGAGGGAGGCTCAGGTAGGCAAAGAGTCATCCCTGCTCAGAAACCTGACCCTTAGGAAGGTGTGAGAAGGTGATGTGACTCACCAGGGCCTTCTTGGTCAGTCGCTGGGTGGCCATCCTTCCAGTGCCCACAGTGAACGGGAGACGGGCAGGCTGTGCTCAGGGAGAGAAAGAGAAAGGAGGGACAGTGAGAGACCAGGTAGAGGCTCGACCCACAATGCAGACAACACATCTACTAGGAGACAGGCAGACAGGGACACGCACGTGCACAGTGACCCATGAGGGTGGAAGCCTTATGGCATCCAGGACCTTTGACAAACATCTACGCTTTAATCCTCCTGACACCCTACATGGTGGGGACCATTTCCACCTACCACATTTTGCAGATGAGGAAACAAGCCCAGACAGAGGCCACGTACTCAAGAACACAGAGCCGCAACTGGTGCTGGGATAACTAGGTCCGGGTTCCCAGGCTTCATGGACACCTCACACTCACGCAGACACGCCCCCCAACACACACGCGTGGACGCACAGTCAGTCTCAGGGCCTGGGGGGGAGCAACAGGGCCCTCGGCCCCATTCCTGGGTCTGAGTGCTGGCCCCTGGCCCTAGAAGTAACCGCAACACAGCCCCCGCCCTTGGGGTATCCCCCAGATCTTGAGGGGTTACTATGAGACTCCGCGAACAGATAGAAGTAGGGAGCCTGGAGCCGTGTGGCACACAGGAAGAGCTTAAGTCGAGCCTCACTGGGTGACTGAGTTGGTAGGAGCTTCTTTCCATACACGGAAAGGGTGTGATTCCTGGTCAGGATGCATGTGGCAGGCACTCGATCGGTGTTTCTCTCTCTCTAAAATCAATCCACATATAAAGGATGTTTATTGTAGCACTGTTCCTAGAAGCAAAATAGAAACCAACCAACAAACCAACCCCGGAGAGGGGAATAGAAGGCCAGTCTCCAATCCGAAATCCCAGGTTGCCTAAGAAAGCAAAGTTAGTTATGGAGTTTGTGAATGTTTTGCTCTTTGAATTCCTTTTTATTATATTGCTGATACAGTGACTTCATGAGTTTTTAAACAGAATTTAATATTTACGAACGTATTCTTTCTGGACCTGGGGTCTCCGACTCCTCTCCCTGAACCAGAGGTGAACAACAGGGGCTCCTTTTACCAGATATGGAGGCCACCAGAGAAGACTTCACTGAGAAGCACAGCGGGCCCAGGGCCCCTGACATCCGTAGGTGCCCTAGGAAATATTATCATTTCTCTTAAAATTATAAGAGAAAAAGTGAATCGAATCCAGCCTGGGCTATATTTGTTCTTATAGCAATGCAATCAAAACTTTAATTTTTACTCTATATAAAAGAGGTCATGAAGGCACAGTGGCCCTGGAAGTGGCATGTGCACGGGGCTGGTGACCACTGAACCCAGTGTGGCCTCAGGTCTGTGGCTGCAGAGCCAGGGGTGGCAGCTGCTCCTGCTCCTGCTCCTCTGTCCAAACTTTCTGGCATTTCCTGCCGTCCATTGTTTCTAAGGGGAAACAAGGGTTTGTCATCTGTGGGGTTGTTAGTGTGGGTGCTCTGAAACCCGGATGTCTGGGTGTTGTGTTGGGTGATTTACTTAAAAGTTTCTGAGCCTCAGTTTCTCCACCTGCAAAATGGGGGTGGGAAAGGTGCCCACCTCAGAGTTACCGGGAGGCCTATAAAAAGCGCAGAACAATACCCTGGGCACCCAACACACCCTCCCTGAACAAATCCGCCCCGGTCACCATGGGGTCGGGGTCTCTGACCTTCTTTGTTACCCCGCACCTGGCGACCACACACGCCCTGCCCTCCCGGGGGCCGGGGAGCCTCTGAGGGCAGGACCGCCATGGGCTGCGGGGCCCGCGGGCAGGCAGCGCCGCCAGGCCCGCCTGTGCAGGAGGGCGTCTTCCCCGCGCTCCCGGGAGGGCACCCCCGTCGCACCCTCACACACGTCAGCCGCGCCCACAGACAGAGGCGCAGGGGCGCACAGACAGGGGGAGGCTCGGACAGGAGAGGCGCAGACCCACTCACACCTGACACACAGACCGGCGCCGAGGAAGAGACGAGACGCAGGGGGACATCTGGACGGCGCCCTCACGCTGAGACGCCGCGGACGGAAACAAAGGCAGACGCGCACACAGACGTGGACACAGAGGGACCCCGGAGAGACCGAGACAGGCAGCCGACACACACACACAAGCAAAGGCGAGACACAGGAGGCCACCGGGACACACGTGGTGACAAACACGGAGAGACGGCTGGGAGTCTCAGCCCAAAACACACCCACAACCACAGGCAACACCTTCACCCGCACGACCCTCCCCGAGTCCACACGACCCTTCCCCAGACCCACACACCGTCTCCGCCCGTCCCCGTCCCCTCAGCTGTCTGACGACGCGGCTCCCTCAGAAACCCCCCTTGCGCCTGCGCGGACAGGCCGACTACACTTCCCAGAACTCCGCGCGGTGGTGGCGCGTCCAATCAGGCCTCGCCACCAAAAGGGCGCTGCTAAATGGCCGCAAACCGGGGAAGCGGTATCGCTGCTCCATCATCCCGTGGTCACCGCGAAACAGCGATAAAGGATAAAGAAGGCGGTGTTCCTGGGGCATTAGGGCCAAGCTGGAGAGCGGGGAGCGGGAGGAAGACTAGAGCGGGAGAGGGTCGAGGCGGGAGGGGGGTCACGGAGGAGGAGAGGGGGCGCAGGCAAGTAAGGTGAGGGACAGGAAGCGGAGCGAGCTGGAGAGGGGAGGGAAATTCCAGAAAAGGCGGGGCGAGGGTGGAGGCGGGAAAAGAAACCGTAGCCCTTCTGCGGACTTGCTGCCCCGTAGCCACAGATCCTGAATGTGTACTGACTTGCAGAAAATTGGTGAAGCTGTTAAGGGAGAAACGCCTGGCTGACGCTGTATAGAATTACAGATCAGCAAGCCTACTAGCCTGCAAGCAAAGCTTATTAGTGCTAAGTTCTAATGGGAGAGCCAAAGTAAGGGTGGCTAGAGCAAGGGTGGCAAAGGCTGGGTGGCCAGCACCAGGGTGGCCAAAAAAGGGGGAGTGGCCAGAGACTCCCCCCAACCTCCCTTCCTCCTCAGAGGTCTGGTGGACAGTGGCCCCCTCTTGGCAAGGGAGACAAGAGCCAAGAAAGTGAGTCTTTTCTTCTGAGGACTTACGTAGTTGGCAAGATGGGGGAGTGAGGGAGTTACATTTTGATGGAGAGGCAAACAGGGTGGTGCCAGGTCTTTCTGGGGGACATGACTATACAAAGATAGGTGTGGGTGGCAGTCTGTTAGCATGAATTCTTATCTTGCTCCAGACTCTATTTGTTCTTAAGTGACCGCAGTTGGGGGGATCTGGGCAGACAATTAACCAAAGTTTGTGGGGTTTTTTTAAAAGATTTTATTTATTTTTTAGAGAGGGGAAGGGAGGGAGAAAGAGAGGAAGAGAAATAACAATGCATGCTTGCCTCTTGAGCACCCCTGCTAGAGACCTTGGCCCGAAACCGAGGCATGTGCCATGACTGGGAATCAAACCGGGGACCCTTTGGTTCGCAGGCTGGCACCCAATCCACTGAGCCACACTAGCCAGGGACTAAAGTTGTTTTGTGAGTTTTTTCTCTGAGTACTGTAGACCACTCCCCTTCCCCCTTCTAAGCCTTGAAATGAATACGCCAGTCTCAAGGTTTTCCCTTTCCCAGCTAGTGGAGATGAGACACACAGACTTATAAGGGCTCCCCCACTTCCAGCACTACCATAGTTTTATTTGTTGTTCGCAATGCCTGACAGCCTTATTGGACCAGGCTCAGAATTACTGGGTCAATGTGTCTTCCTTTGCTTTTAGCCTCCTGTATTAAGCTCTTTGTTAGACTGCCATGGTGAGGGCCCTGCCTCAATTTCCCTTCTGGCGGCTCACTTCTAGCTGCTAAGTGCTAAAATGCGTTGCCTGGCAACCAGCATACTAGCCCTCGATCAGCAACAGCAGCACAGTCTCAGAGCTCTTCTATGCTGTCTCCTGCAACAAAGCTACCCTCAATGGAAGGGGTGTTATAACCTGTGTAGAATTTTTGGTGAGTTTACGTGAGCAAAACTGATGACAGTTGCTGGGAAGCAAAATCTCATTGGATTGAGAAATGCTCAGAAGAATGGCAGTTTAGCACCTTATCGTGCACATTACTATCAAAGGAGTAGGCATAAGGGTAAGTGTTAGGGTCGCCAAAATGTCAGGGTGGCCCCTGATTAGGGATTTGAAAGAATTCACAGAGAGAAGAAAATGCAGAGGGCAAAGTGTGTTCGCTTTCCAAGAGTGGGAAGCAGCCTAAGGGCATGAGAGGCAGCACTGGTGGGGAAAGGCTGGGGCTCTGAGTTTCACTGGGTGATAAAGGGGGAGGGGAGCTGTAGCTTTCGTTGTAAAGTAGGAGGTTTCAGGCTGATAGTGCGGGCTTTGGTTCGTTTGGATGTTATCGTTGGGTTCAAGGTCTAAGTGCTCCGTCTGGTATGGCCTGTCTGTATAAGTTTTAAAACACCTGTGCTTGCGGGGGGTGGGAGGGATGCTTTTAGTAATCTCCCCAGTCCTGAAAATAGAAGCTCAGAGAAACAGCAGTTAAGCATCTCAATTAAGTAACAACTTGTACAAAAGTAATAGTATTTCTTCTATTGCTATGTATATATATTTATAGAGTGATTCCTTGATTCATAGGCCTGCACTCAACCACTGAGCCACACCTCAAGGGAGGATTTTTTTTAAAAAAGGGGTAGATCTCATGTTCAGTGTTTTTGCTCACAAGAGAATAAAATGCCATTTTAAAGGCAAAATATTAAACATGTAAGCTTTCTATTTTTTGCAGTGTCCTGCCTCTTTTATGCTTTTATATACCATGTAATAAATTCCACTGAAGTTGTACTTCTTCAAAACAAACAAAAAAACCCACAGTGGGCCCTGGCTGGTGAGATTCACTGGATTGAGTGCCAGCCTGCAAACCAAAGTGTTGCTGGTTCAATTCCCCATCAGAGCACATACCTGGGTTGCAGGCCAGGTCGCCAGCAGGGGGCGCATGAGATGCGACCACAATTGATGTTTCTTTCTAAAAAATAGTTAAAAAAAAAACCCAATGGAAAAAAAAAATAGAAACACAAATGACAGTGCACGGTAGATACTGTTGTCAATTGTTTGTTTTGTCATTTAATGCTGTTACTCAGAGCATCTTCTGTTATTGGTGTCTTCAGCTCTTCCTCACCATTTCTTACCCAGACGGATCCTATATATTTATCCACCCTTCTAAGATGGATCCTTAGGGGTTGCCAATGTTTCCTCTCTTCCAAGCACAGCTCTGCTGAGCCCAGGACTGAAGGGACACTGTCCTGTCCCCCAGTATCTATACAGTCGTCTTCTTGTTATGGGAGAAACTGAGTTGTTGTTTTGTTTTTGTTTTTTTACTGCATATGTATATTTAACAACAGTTTTACATAGACTGCTAAGAGCACGTCATTATTTTACAGAAGGACTTGAAACATGAACTTTCTATTAATATTCATACCATAGCACAGCCTGACCTAACTCCCAAATAAATGCATTGCAATTTATTTAGAGTTTAAAGGCTTAATGGCAACAATGAGGGGAGGGAAAGCGTAAATTTGGTTTACATAAATGAGAAATAACCTCAAAAAAAAAAGTCAACAAAATTTAATACGGCCTCATGTGCCCTGAAGGAGGTGGTTCCCGATTTGGAGGGGTGATTGCTATGTCCAGACAATCTCCTATTTGAAACTTCTGAGACCGCAGGGTCGTGGAATCGTTGGCCCCCTTCCTCCCAGACATGGTGCTGCCAACTCCTTTACTTGATAGCCAGGTCTTTTAATATCCATAAAAACAATTGCAAAATTGAAGTGTGTACCCTTCTTCCTAGCTTCTGGGTTGACTTCTTTTACTAAATTAGTTCTTTCAAGGTGGTATCTCTCCAGGTATAGGCCTGTAGCTCAATAGAGGGCACATTCCCACAGGAAAACACATCCATGGGGTGGTGGTGCCCCTTGTTGGTGGCAAAGACCGCAGCAGCAGAGGGAACGTCTTGTTGACTGGCCCCTCCGACTCTTAATTTCTTCCTAGGTGATGCGTGACTCCACCACCGTCTTCCTCCTGTGGCCTGCTATTAGATGGTCTGAAACTCAGTTCTTAACAAAGCAGTAAAGAATTATAGGTCAGCAAGTCAGTTAGCATGCAAGCAGGATTTATTGGTGATACATTCTCATGGAAGAGAACAGGTCTTGCCGAGAAAGGCAAGAGCAAGGGTTGCAAGAGCGTCAGGTCCTTTGTTCTGAGGGCTTACGTAATCGGCAGGATGGGGGCGAAGAAGTTATATCTTGATTGACAGGTAAAGGTGGTGCCAGCTTTCATTGAAGGACGTGACTATCCAAACTTAGGTATGTGTGGGGGTCTGTTAACCTGAACACCTGGCAATATTATCAGACCAGGCTCAGGACTGATGAGTTAGTGGTGAGACACGTCTCCCTCCTCCTCCTGCCTTGGTGGACTGTCTAACCTCCCTAACATTCTCATTGCAGACTGGAGCTGTGCTCCAATGTCCCCTTCTGAGAGAAGTCCTACTTCACTGACAGAGCTGAAACAGCCCCTCCCTTCCCTTTCTACCTCATCACCCCTTAATCTGTCAGTAATGACCAGGGGTGCTCTGTGAGACAAGGGACTGATTTACCCACTGCTGGACTACCAGCACCTGGAATAGTGCCAGGCACAGAGGAGGCGCTCAGATACTTGTTAAGTGGCTCGTTGTTCACCTGAAGACCCTCATCTCAAGATTCCTACTTCTCAAAGGAAGCAGAAATTCTAGGTCTTCACATATTAGTCACCCATGTTCTTATTTCTTCAAATAGCATATCTCCCTCCCCCGACCACTCAGTGGGAAAAAAATTCAGGCTCCCTCTTCACCCAATTCCCTCCTCCTCCGCACACACACAAACACACATCTGTCACGTGAACATCCCTGTGCCACATCAAATTCAGCAGTGAAAAAAAACCAGATTGACACTTGCTTCTCCTTCTCCTCCACTTCTTGTCACCTCTCAGCCCCTCTGGAAAGCACGTGAATGCCTGTAAGGACACACTCCCTACTAGGCAGCTCTTTAAGAAGCTTGGGCCAAAGGAAAATTCCCCCTGTGAAATTACATGCCATAGGGGATGTTAATTGAGTAAATGAGCACCCATGATAAAGGTGATAGGATATCTATTGAGCTTCCTGGTGAGGGTGCTGGTGGGAGTGTGTGTGTGTGGTGGGGAGATGGACAGATGTACTTTGCCACTAATATTCTCCCTGGTCGCGGGAGACCGACACACCCCAGGGAAACTCGTTCTGATAACAGGCATGAGACATGGTTGTACTTAAACCTCCTGTCCATCTTAGGAAGTGAGGATAAAACGATTAGAATGATGACACATAATGGAACTTCCTATGTGCTAAAAATCTTTTCTGAATGCTTCCCTGTATTACTCAACTTGTTCTTTAGAACACTATACGGCAGATAACATCCCTATTATACAGATGAGAAAACTGAGGTACAGAGGAGTTCTTTCAGGCTTCCTCAATAGGCCCTGGCTGGTGTGTCTCAGTGGACTGAGCACTGGCCTGCAAACCAAAAAGTCACCAGTTCAATTCCCAGTCAGGGCACATGCCTGGATTGCGGGCCAGGTCCCCAGGCAGGTGCACAAAAGGAAACTACATGATGTTTCTCTCCCTCCCATCCCCTCTCTCTAAAAACAAATAAATGAAGATTTTTTTTTCTTTTATTGTTTCTAAAGAGAGGGGAAGCAAGAGAGAAAGGAAGAGAATCATCAATGTGAGAATCATCGATCAGTTGCCTCTTGCACGCATCCAGATGGAACCAAACCTGCAACCCAGTCATGTGCTCTGAATGGCAATCAAACCCACAGTCTTTCAGTTTGTAGGATGATGCCCATCTATGTAAGACACACTTGCAAGAACAAAAATAGCTAAGGCTTTAGAGCTGCACAGTGCAATGCAATAGCCAGTAGCCAGAACTATTAAAACATAAATGAATTAAAATTAAACGAAGCACAGGTCACATAAAAGAATCAACCAATGAAGGCATAAATAAGTGGAACAAAAGCTTGTTAATCACTCTCCCTCCCTCTCTCTAAAATCAATTTAATAAAATTAAATACTGGTAAAAATTCAGTTTCAAGCCTGCACACGTGAAGTTCACCCGCTCCAGGGGGCCCCAGCACCTGCTGTAGGAACCGCAGTGAAGTAGCTCAGGAACCCCATCCAACGCCATAGGGCAGGTTTCCTTACTCAACCTCCTTGCAGATTAAGACACGTGGGCTCAGGAAATGACCCCACTGGTCAGAGCAAATAGAGTTGGTGTGTGACCCCAGGCGGACCTGGGGCCAGAGTTCCTGCTCTAGCCCGTTACAGTCCCTTGTTTCTTCCCAATCTTCTCAGCGTGGCTGGGTGGTTCCCCTTCCTTTCTTCACCGCATCTTCCTCCTGCCCCTTCCCTTCCCTCCTTTCCTCCTTCCTCTCCTCCTGGCCCCCTCCAGGCTTCTCCCCCTTCACTTGTCCACGCCCACCAAACCTGGGGGTGGGGGTAAGTGGGAGTGGACTCCAGACCATACAAGCTGATACTGTGCTCTACCCAGGAGAATGGGGCTTGAGCGGCCCCTTACTAGGAAGCTGCCTGTGAGTCAGACAGCCTGCAGCGTTCACTGGCCCCGGGATTTTCATCCTGTGAAGAATTAGAGTGCTGAGCCTTGGTTTCCTCAGAGGAAAGCCTGGAATAGTAACAGGCCTCTGAGTAGTAGTTAATTACCCATTTCATAATGAATACTTTATGTAGTATTGTTAATAGAGCACCATTCTTACATTGTTTGCTATTTATTATTGTAATAGTGTTATCATCAGCAGTAATGAAATATTAACCAAAACATGACGTAGGCTGTGGGCAAAGCATAGACTGGGTAATGCCCCTGCTGACTGAAGGCATTTTATTTTCACAAGAATTTCTGCAGCCATGAGGTGGGGGGCGGGGGGCGGCCTGTGCTCTGAGGCAGGGCTGTTCTCCTGGAAGGGAAACGGCTCTGAGAGGAGGGAGGGGCCGCCTCGCTGGCTTACTGAAGGGGGCCCTTTCCCCCCATCACTGAGGCTGAGGGTCTGGTGGGGAATTCACGTCTCTTCCCCCCCCAGGAGTTGACACTCATTTTGACAGGGCAACGTGCACCTGTACCTTTTGTACCTGATGAGTGTTTAAAATGACACTGGTTTCCTATTAGTTGAAAGTTTTATTAAAAATAATTTTACAGACCGCTGAGAAACTTTGGCATATGAAACAACTACTGTGACTTCCTAATGCTGACCCCCAAAAATTGTTTTCCCTCATGAACCACTTGGAAACGGCGACTGTTGCAGGGAGACTGGGGGCTGCGTGTGGGGAAACGAGGACACCAAGGGATGGCAACGACCTGGCCTCTGCACTGCATCCAGGCCTGGGTGACAGAGGGAGGACGTCCCCAGGGAGCCCGTCGCCCCGTCTTCCTCTCTCCCTCCCCTCTCCGTCTTTACTGTCCAGGAGATGGAGACCCAGAGACACTAACTGTGTTCTCTCAGCTCGTGTGTCAGTTTACCTGAGCCCAGTCTGGAGCCACAGTGCCCCTGGCCCCGCCGGGGGCTTGCTGTCCTCACGGCCTTGCAGACGCTCTGGAAGCAGCTTGTGTGTACAGTGTGGCCTCTCCCCAGAGTCCACGTGCCTAATACCCATGTGGACTGGACCCCTCTTAAGTCCTACCTGTGTGCTCCAATGTCGAGCCTGGCAGTGACCCATGGGCTAAGGACCACCCTATTGGGTGTGAATGATGACATCCCATGCCCCACCCCCAATACAGGCGCATCCCTCTCAGGTGTCCCTGAGGTAGATGTTCAGCCTAAATGTCTTCTCTCCCTTGCCACACTCGCAGGGCTTCTTTGCCCTGTGGATCCTCTAGTGCAGGGTGAGCAAGTCCTTAGTAAAGGCCTTGCCACACCAGCTGCACCTGTGGGGCTTCACGCGGGCGTGGCAGTGAGCCGCAGGAAGGAGCCCTGCGAGGTGCGTCTGGCAGACAGAGCACTTGCAGGGCTTGTCTCTGGCGTGCAAGCACAGTCCTTACATGAGGAAGAAGTTCTGGCTGAAAGTCTGGCCACACAGGCTACACCGGCAGGTCTTCACTCCCTTTTGGAATTACTGGTGCTGGATCAGTCAGGCGTTCTGGCGGCAAGCCTCGCTGCACTCCGAACACGCAAACAGCTTCTCACCCCGTGTGTCCACTGGTGCTCCATCACGTGCATGCTCTGGCTGAAGGCGCGCCCGCACAGGGCGCACTGGTATGGCTCCTCCCCATTTTGCATCCTCGTTGCACAGTGAGCTGAGCCGTCTGCTGATGGCCGTGCGATAGTCGCCACACACCTTATGCTTTACCCAGTGTGCATGCGCTGGTGGACGGTGAGGTTCAACTGCTGGGTGAACTGCTTCCCGCACGAGGTGCACAAGAAGGGCTTCTCCCCCATGTGGATTTGTTGATGCTTCTTCAGGATCGAGTTACAGCTGAAAGCCTTGCCACATTCCACACACTGGTATGGCTTCTCCCCAGTGTGGATGTGTTGGTGCATATTTAGGCACAATTTGTAGCGGAAAGCCTTGCCGCACTCCCCACACTCATAAGGCTTGTCGCCAGTGTGGATCCGTTGGTGATTCTTCAAGCACGAGCTATAGCGGAAAGCCTTGCCACACTCCCTGCACTCGTATGGCTTCTCCCCAGTGTGGATTCGTTGGTGCGTCTTCAAAGATGAGTTACAGCCAAAGGCCTTGCCACACTGGCCACACTTGTAGGGCTTCTCGCCGGTGTGCACGCGCAGGTGCTGCATGAGTAAGAAGTTCTTGCTGAAAGTCTTGCCGCAAACACTGCACCCCAAGGGCTTTACCCCCATGTGGATGTGCTGGTGCTCGATCAGGTAGGCATTCTGGCTAAAGGCCTTGCCGCAGTGGCCACATGAGTAGGGCCGCTCACCCGTGTGGGTCCCTAGGTGCAGCCTGAGAGACGAGCTCCTGTTGAAGGACTTGCCACACTCCGGACACGTGAACGGCTTCTCGCCTGTGTGTGTTCGCTGGTGCACAATGAGATGCTTTTTCTGGCTGAAAGACTTGCCACAGTCCCCGCACATGTATGGCCTCTCCCCAGTGTGCGTCCTCTGGTGACGCATGAGGTGTGCCTTCTGGCTGAAGGCCTTGCCACACTCTACACATGTGAATGGCTTCTCACCAGTGTGTGTCCTCTGGTGCACGGTGAGGTACTTGTTCTGGCTGAAGGCCTTGCCACAGTCCCTGCACATGTATGGCTTCTCCCCGGTGTGAGTGCTCTGATGCACAATAAGGTGCTTGTTCTGGCTGAAGGCCTTGCCACAGTCTACGCATGCATACGGCCTCTCCCCAGTGTGTACACGCCGTTGATCCTTGATCGAGGAGTTGTGGCTGAAAGCCTTGCTGCACTCCGGGACCACAAAAGGCTTCTTACCTCTGTGAGTCCTCTGGTACATGATGAGGCACTTGCTCCTGCTGAAGACCTTTCCACAGTCCCTAGAGGCAAGCAGCTTCTCCCCCTTGTGCACATGCTGGTGGATGGTGGGGGAAGGGAGCCAGGTGAACTGCTTCCCACATGTGGCACACGAGAAGGGCTTCTCCCCGGTGTGAATTCGTTGCTGCTCTTTCAGGGAGGAGTTGTAGCTGAAGGCCTTGCCACAGTCCCTGCACTCATAGGGCTTCTTCTCTGCACAGAGTCTGGAGGGAGGACTGAGGCTTGAAGTACCTGAGTCCTTCCCACACACAGTGAACTGGTGCGTCCCTGCTCCTCCCAGTCCTTCAGGTCTCAGTGGGTCTGGCAAGGGGCTTCGGTGGACAAATGCCTGAAATTCACGACATTCATGGGCTAACACTTGGGACATGTCCAAGCACCCCAGAGAAGTCCCTGAGCTCCCCTGTCGCCACCCTACCAGGTCACCCTGTGTCCCAGCTCCTTCACAGGCAGAATCCTGGGCACCATCCCTCCTGGGTCCTTCTGCCACGACTGCAGAGGATGGTCTGTCTTCCCAAATGTCCTCCTGTGGGTCCAATTCTTTCAGGTCAGGACTAGTCTCCAAGTCTGAGGGGAGGGGAAAGATGATGACACACATGTAGTTAACCACGCTGGGAAGGAGGACCTTCCCAAGACACAACAAGGCACAACATGAGAGCAGGGGACAGAGGAAGAAGTGAGACAGTGATGTTTAGGGAGGTAAGTAGAGAGTGAAAGAAGTCCCCTTGGGAGTGGGTAAAAAGGTGGCCAGCAGAGCTCAAAGCTGGGCAGACAGGCCCCTGGAGAGAAAGAGGGGGAAGGCGGGCTTGGAGGGGCGGACCAAAGCCTCCCACAAACCCAGTGTGGCGTCCCTGCATGGGGAGGGCGGGCTTCTGGCTTCCAGGCACCACCCTGCATCCCCCCGGTCAGCTGTGCTTCTCCAAGCATCATTCATGTGGGTGTGCTGGCTGTCCTGTCTCCCCACTGCCCAGCACAGCTCCCGCCTTCCCGTGCTGCCAGGCGCGGCCCGGCCCTGGCTGCCGGCTCCTCCCCCTCCTCTTTGCACACTCGTCCTCCCTGCTGACCACAGCTGCTCCGGTCCCCTCCGGCGGGTGCCCCGTGGGTTCCTCAATCTCTGTTTCCAGCCTAGGGGGCTCTGCTGAGTTCTGGACTCTGCACATAGGCCTCACAGTTTATGCCAACATTAAAAACTGAGACCTTACAGAGAAATCTCATTAAAAAAGCGAAGATGCTGCCACATGGAGCCCTCCATCCAAGGAGGCAACAAAAAAAGCAGGAGTGGGAAGCAGCTGTCCCATGTCCCCCATTTAAGTCCCCAGAGCCCATAACCCCTGAGTTTGAGGCCCCTCTACTGAGTCACAAGAATCCTATTTTAGTCTCTTCTTGGTGCTGACACCTCCTACATGGACGCCCCCGCCCAGACACCCTCTGAGCTCTGCTGGGGAGTAATCCGAAGCCTTGTGCGCCCCTCTTGGGTATCGCAAACCTAACGCATTTGACATGAGCCTGTGATTTCAGAATCTCTCTCCCAAATGATGAAATGAACAGCCCATCAAAGAGGCTTAGCCAAATAACTGAGACACACAATGACTGATACATTATGATTCCACTCATACGAGGCCACTAGAACCATCAAATTGACAGCGACAGAAAGTAGGACATGGGTGCCCGCGCTTGGGGAGGGGGATGGGGAGCTGCTGTTTAGAGGGGGCAGACTGTCCGCTGAGGACGATCTCTTTTAATAGCGCTCTGGAGGTAGAAAGCGGCTATGGTTGACCAACAATGGGAATGCACTTCATGCCCCTGAACTGTGTACCTAAAAAGAGTTAAATGGTCAGTTTTATGTTATATGTATTTTGCAACCATAAGAAAATAAATATTTTTTGAATTAAAAAAGATTTAGCAGCCACCCTTGACTCCCCCACTCCCTCCCATCATCCACGCTAACAACTGCCCCCACACAGGAGAGCAGCTTGAACCAGCCCAGACCGACGCACGGCCACCGCCGCCGATGCAGCAGCCTCCCCTCTCCCCACGAGCCACTGTCCACTCGGCGGAAAGAAGAGCTCAGGAGTCAGCCCAAACCCTCCAGCACCTTCCCAGTATCCTGGGGACCAGGGGCAATGCCTTCCCACCTCCTCTGTGCCATCCAGCCCCACTCGCCCTTGTTTCCCTTTGATTTCCTTGTGCAGGCCCAGAGCTTCCTGCCTCAGGGCCTTTGCACCTGCCCTTCCCTCGGCCTTCCCATGGGCACTCATCCTCAAGCCTCAGTGAACCTCTGTTCCCCACTGGGAGGCCTTCTCTGTCCACCCTGCTGTGGAAAGGGAGCGCCCGCCTGCCGCTCTCTCGCCTGCGTCATTGTGAGCGCTCGTTACGGCGCCCTCTCCCGTTCTGCGCACTGCCAGCTCCCACAGCAAGAGGTGGGTTCCGAGAAGGCAAGGGCCTCACTGGTCCCCAGGTCCCACACAGTGTCCGGCTCATGCAAGGCACCTGCGATAAACCTTCACCAAGCACTGGTCGTGTGCTGGCATGGTACCCAATAGCCCTCACCGCATGTGAGTAGGTGCTGGTAGGATTACACCCATTCTACCGACAGGGAAACCAAGGCTCTGAGAATGGAGCCACACCCTCAAGGTCGCCCAGCACATTCCAGCATGCGGTCCAATCCCTGAACCACTTATTTGGCCACATGTCACTGTCCCATCGCAGAGGGAAGGATTTGACAAGTACCTTACGTTGGAGAAAGATCCGGTTTCGTGACCCTGAGGTGTGGGAGCGATGCCAGAGGTCAGAGCAGCTGGAGGCCTAGGACCTGGAGGCCGCAGGCCACTTTCCATAGGGAAGAGGGAAGGAGGGTGACAGTGGGTATGCGTGGGGCCCATGCGCCTGAGACACACTGGGGACACAACAGGCCAGTGAACTCAGAGAGTGGACAGAGAAGAGTCATGGCTGTGAACACGGTGAGAAGCAAATCCCCAAAGAAAGTAATGATAAGCTGGACTTCATCAGATTACAAACATCTGCTCATCAACAAATGGTGCTGGGCACCTGGATATGCACATTCAAAAGAGCAATGATACGCGGTCACGGAAGGTCATGCCACTTTGGGTGGCAGGCACACAATGTAACATACAGATCACTTACCATAAAATGGACACTTGGAGTTTTTACAATCCTACTGGCCAATGTCACCACAATCAATTTAATTAAAAAACAAAACAAAACAGCGACGTTAGGTCCTTTTTACATCATTCACAATTAACTCAAATTAGACCAAAAACATAAATAAAGAGCTAAAATTCTAAAACTCGTAGAAGAAACAGGAGTAAATCTTCACAGCCTTTGGTTAGGCAACAGCCCCTCAGATACGACACCTAACACACAAGTAACAACAAAATAAATAAGTTGGACCCCATCAACGTTAAAAATGTTTGCATTCCCAACGATGCCAGTGAGGAAGAAGGAAGACCACCCACAGAATGGGAGAAACAGTTGAAAGCACATGTCTGATAAAAGTCGTGGAGCAAGAATTAACAACAAAAGAATACGTAAAGAACTTTCAAAGTGAGTAACAAGGAAGTAAACAATCCACTAAATCAAGAGGCAAAAGACTTGAACCAGACACTTCACCAAAGAGAATATACTGATGGGGAATAAGCAACTGGAGAGCTTCTCAGGCCCAGCTCCGAGCCGGGCTATGCTAAGACTGCACTCCCACGAGAATGGCTGCAATGAGACAGACTGAGCACGTTCAGTGCTGACAAATGCACAAAGCAATGAAATTCCCAGCACGTGCTGGTGGAGATAAAACACAAGACAACTGTTTTGAAAAAACTTTGGCAGTTTCAAAAAGTAAAATATGCACCTACGTATGACCCAACCATCCTCAACAGAAACGACAGATTGTGTCTACAGGAAGATGTCCAGAACTGGAATCAACCCATTTGTTTACCATCAAGTGAATGGATAAACATGCTGTGGTCTCTCCATGAAACAGAATATTACTCAGCAATAAAATGAAGTAAACTATTGACCTGGCCAAAGGGCTTAACTGATTGGAACTACGTCCCCTGCACCAAAAGTTTGCAGATTCAGTCCATCATGTTCAGTAAACTTTGCAGGTTCAGTCCTATCATGTCCCGTAGGGGAGGTAACTGATCCATGTTTCTCTCTCTCTCTCTGTCAAATGAATAAACGTACCTTCAGGTGAGGATTAAAAAAAAAGAAAATAATAAAGGGAACTATTCATACACTCTGACGACATGGGTAAACCTCAGAGACATGATGGCACCCCGACTGGTGGGGCTCAGTGGATTCAGTGCCGTCCTGAGAACTGAGAGGGGACCAGTTTGACTCCCAGTCAGGGCAGGTGCCTGGACTGCAGACCAGGGCACCAGCTGGGGGTGTGCAAGGGCCAGCTGCCCAATGTTTCCCTCCCTTCCCCTCTGTCTAAAAATAAATAAAATCTTAAATTAAAAAGAAACGATGCCACTTGTAAGAAGTTAGATTAAAAAGGTGCCCTATGATTCTATATACATAAAATTCTAGAATAGGCAAACTAAACCACAGTGGTCACCAAGGGGATGGACGGTGAGTGAAAGGGAAGAAAAACTGTTTGGGCTAATGGACGTGTCTGCATCATGACAACGATTTCCCGGGTGAATATAAGTATCAAAATGTATCATATTGTTTGCTTTAACAACATGCAGTTAATTGTAGGTCAGTTAAACCTCCACAAAAGCTGTTAATGAAATGGGACTATACACTAACTCTGAAAGTTAGTGTTTCTCCTGAAAATATTATCCAGGGACATGTTTCTGTGTCGGTGACTACAGAGTACTCGTCTTGGGAGAGCGCCGTGATTTCCACCGTATTGCTACACCCTGGTTTGTTCGGTCAGTCTCGTAGGTGGGCATCTAGGGAATTTCTCTTCCTATGAAAACTCTGAAGACTTATAGGAAAATTTTTAAAGGTTATATTCTAGAAATGGAATCATTTGAAATTTGGTTGGTAATATCAAACTGTCCTCCTAAAGAGTTGTCCCAACTTTATGTTCCTAAAATGAGGAGTCCCTTTCTCTACGCCTTTGTAATACAGGATGCTGTTACTCTTTTTCTTCTTCTTTATTTTTTTTTAATGCCTCACTTTAGGATATGCTTAGAGAGGGAGGAAGGGGGAGGGGAGGGAGGAGGAAAGGTGAAAGAGAAAGAAAAAGAGAGAAACGCCAATGAGAGAGAGAAACATCAATGAGTTGCCTCTGGTATGTGCTCTGCCTTAGGATCAAACTCACAACCTAGGTATGTACATTGAACCCACAACCTTTTTGTATACAAGATGATGCTCCAACTAACTGAGCCACACATGGCCAGGACTGTTATTCTTTTTCACCTCTGTGTACCTCATGGGCAAGAAATGTATTTCTATAACTCAATTTGTACTTCTGTGACAATTAGTAAGGCTTAAAAATCTTTTATAAGGTGTAACCCCATGCATCTCTCTATATATGAATTGCATGCTCTTAAGCTCTGTCCATCTCTCTATCATTCATTTGGTCTTTTTCTCATTTATTCCTAAGAGCTCTTTATATATTTATAATCCTCTGACCATTATACGTGTGGTAAATGCTATTCCTAACTTCATCACCTATGAAGTTTATTTTTAAATTCGAGTAATGTCAGCGTTTTACCTAGTCTGATCTGTGCATCTTTTCTGTTTCTGTGTCATCCTGAGGTGACAGGCAGATGATGAGTTACGAAGCGAAGCTGCCCCCTTACCCAGCGACACCAGGTTCCAGTAGGTCTCCATCATCACGTCCCTGTACAGGTCCTTCTGCGCAGGCTTCAGCTGCTGCCACTCCTCCGGGGTGAAGTCCACAATCACATCCCTGAACGCCACTGACCCCTGTAACAGGAAGCGCACGCCACTCACCACAGGGCCCTCCTCACGGAGGTCAGGAGATGTGGCCAAAAGGGCCGAGAGGATCAGAAAGGCATGTGGGACGTGCCTGACGTGGTGTCAACAAGGTGTGAACCTCTGAAGGGCCTGACCCCTCAGTGTCCTCGGTGCCTAAGTACACTGCATGGGCCCTGGACGGACAAATAAAGTACGGGGCTTTTCACCGGGAGGACAGACCACCCAACTGAAACATGGGATAAGGGCCTGAAGAGACACTTCTGCAAGAGCAACGTGTCTGTCACAGACCGTGAAGCATGATGCATCTTCCGCTAGTGGAATTCCCACCTGCTGGCCAATCCCTCTGTGATCCGAGTGCCTGTCAGGGATTCTGGGCTGACACCAGCCTTCTGTGTCTTGGAGCCACCACCACGTGATTAGGGAGCAGTACAGGGCAGTCAGTGGTTACCAGTCTGGGCCTGTGATGAAATCCTCGCTCTGCCCCACACACCTGGCTGTGTTTCCTCAGACAAGTGTCTGAATCTTTCTGAGCCTGTTTGTTCAATGGAGCTCCTAGTACCAACACTCCCTCTGTAGCTGTTACCAGGTTAAGTGGGGTCGCGTGTGTGTGATTCCACACTGTGGTACGGCTGCAGGAAGCTCTCGGAGAGGGCAGCTACTGCTCTTATCATTTAATTCATTGGACATTTCATATATCTCGTCTATATGTCTCGTCATTAATACAAATTTTATGTTATTATTATTTGATTCTTTACCTGATTCATCCTGCGGGAAATCCGAGCTGATAATTTCTCTTCAAATCATTTTCCGAATATATGTTTATTGATGTGAAAGAGAAAAAGAGGGAGAGAGAGGAACAACAACCGGCAGCCTCCTGAACGCGCCCCGAGCCGTGGATGGAATGTGGAGCCTTTCGTACACAGGATGGTACTTGAACAATCTGAGCCATGTGGCCAGGGCAATAATTTCTTTTTTTTAAAAAACCACTTTATTGAGGTATAATTGATATACTCATGTGACTGAGGCTACTCATTCCAGGGCTCCATCTGTTTTGGATTCTTGTCTAATGGCACAAACTACTTCACCACAAGAAAAAACTCAGCCAGTTCCAAAGAGCTGAAATCAGGATCTATTTTCTTTTAATCCTCATCCAAGACTATATTTGTTGTTTTGAGAGAGAAAGCAGGATCAGAGAAAGAGACATTGATCTGTTTGCCTCATGCATGTGCCCAGACTAAGATTGAACCTTTTGGTGCATGGGGTGATGCTACAACCAACTGAGCCACCCAGCCAGCGCAGACTCTATTTTTAGAAAAAATAGAATGTAATTACACAAAAAGAGATTAAGGAAAATAAAAATTGAACCCCCAAATTCCAAGCACACTGAGATGACAACCATCAGGAAATCCTAAAGTATGTTGGTGAAGGAGAAAACCAAGGCAACCAGAGACGGTAACAGTGGAGACATCACAGTGCGGCTGCATGGGAAAACAGTTGGATCGTTCTTTCTTCTTCTTCTTTTTTTTTTTTTAAGATTTTATTTATTTATTCTTAGAGAGGGGAAGGGAGGGAGAAAGAGGGGTAGAGAAACATCAATGTGTGGTTGCCTCTCACACGGTCCCTACTGGGGACCTGGCCCGCACCCAGGCATGTGCCCTAGACTGGGAAGCAAACCAGTGACCCTTTCGTTCTCAGGCCAGCACTCAATCCACTGAGCCACACCAGCCAGGGTGGTTCGTTCCTTAAATGGTTAAACATACTTTTATCAAAGCACCCAAGTTTCTGCTATTACATCCTAGAGAAATGAAAAGCTCAAACAAAAGACTGTCCATGAATGTTCACAGCAGCATTGTAAACATTCAAAATAACAATCAAAAAGTGATAACAACCCAAATATATACCACATGGTCTACCTGTACAATCGAATAGTATACAGTCATGAAAAAGCATGGCTGCTACAGCATAGATGAACATCCAAAACATGAAGCTCAATGAAAGCAGCCAGTGATTAAAAAAAAAGACGTTGTGTGATCCATGTATAAGAACTGTACAGCCCTAGCCAGGTGACTCAACTGCTTATAGTGTTGTCTGTACAGCCAGAGGTTGTGAGTGCAGTCCCCGGTTGGGGTGCATATGGGAGGCAACCTATTGATGTTTATCTCACACATGGGTGTTTCTCTCCCTCTCTTTCTCCCTCCCATCCCTTCTCTCTAAAAAATAAAAGCCTTCAAGAATACTAAGATTCCTGAGGACCAGCAGAGCATAGGATAAATAATTTGTACACCCACATAAATGGCGAATAAATATTTTCTAAAATTCAAACCTCACCAATACCACAGACAATGCTATTCAGAAAGACATCATGTGACAGCAGCTGTGAGCTACCATGGGGAAGGTTTATACCACTTGTTATATATTTCCAATGTGCAGAATAAGCATTGAACAACCACCAATGTGAAACAGTGGCAACTCCTCCTGTGCAGTGGTAGAGAATAAACTGTTCCAACCCATAAACATGAAGACTTCTGAAAGGTCTTAAAAATACCCACCCCTTCATTGCTCCGCATGGAACCGCCCCTAAAAAAATCATAAAAAAAAAATCATAAAAAAGCCCTGGCTGGTGTCTCAAGGTAGACTGAGCACCAGTCTGGGAACAGAAAGGTCACAGGTTTGATTCCCAGTCAGGGCAGAACTCTGGATTGCAGGCCAGGTGCTCAGTTGGGGACATGCAAGAGGCAACTGATCCATGTTTCTCTCACACATCAATGTTTCTCTTCCTCTTATTCATCTATCCTTCCCCTCTCTCTAAAAAAATAAATAAAATTTTTAAACAGTTGCTCCTCCTTCCATAATTGAAACAAAAAAGAAAAAATATCATACAAAAAGCAGGGAAAGATTTATGTCCAGTCCCGGCTGGGTGGCTCAGTTGGTTGGAGCGCTGTCCTCAGCACCGAGAGGCTGCAGGTTCAATCCCAAGGTTGGGATGTGTGCAGGGGGCAACTGACTGGTTTTTCTCTCACATCTGTGTTTCTCTGCCTCTCTCTCTTCCTCTTCTGTAAAACTCAAATGAACACATCCACTGGTAAGGATAAAAAAAAAAAGATATAATTATGCCTAGATATATATGTATATATATAATTCACTGACTTGAGATAGTAAGATGTTGTTCCACTGATTAATTCATTGGTTGTTTCTTATATGTTCCCTGACTAGAAATAGAACCTGTAGGCTTGGCATAGCAATATGATGCTCTATCAAACTGAGCTACATGGCCCAGGCCATGTATATATGAATTATTATAAAGTATTTCTTGCATAAAAGGAAATATAGAGAAAAATACCACAATTAGCCAACCACTAAAACATAAAACATCACAGCGAGAGCTGGGGACATGCATAGGTCCCTCCGTACAGATCTCCTCCTGTCCCGAGGGCATTTGGTGCCCTCTGTCCACTTCTGAGGTCCCTCGTCCAGCATGTCCTTCCCAGGGCCTCCGTCACACTACATGGAACATATTTAAGCCGCCACTTTCAGGTGCCCTCCGGTCCCTTGAGAGCCCCTAGAGCAGGACAGGTCACTCCTGAGCGACCGTGTCCCCTGAGGTTGACAAATGCCAGTTTCAGGACAGGAATGTCCTTCCTCAGCATAGACACAACCCCAGCACACCGGGCCGGGAACCTGGATGCTGAGGGGATTATGGGGGGTCAGAGGGTCATTCCTGCCCCAAAGGCTGAGACATAGGAAAAAGGTGCAAGAGGGTGACATGACTCACCAGGGCCTTCTTGGTCAGCGGCTGGGTGGCCATCCTTCCAGTGCCCATGGTGACCTGGGTACGGGCAGGCTGTGCACAGGGGGAGAAAGAGAAAGGCCCAGTGAGAGACCAGGGTGAGACCCGCCTCACATTGCAGACAGTCAGAGACACACCTGCTAGGAGACAAACACACACACACACACACACACACACACACACACCCATACCTGTTAACAATGGACACAGGCAGGGGGCAGGGGAACCTATAGCATCCAAGGCACTCCACAAATGTCCATAATTTCATCCTCAGGATGCCCTACAAGGTGGGGGCTACTTCCACTCACCTTATTCCACAGATGAGGAAACAGGCCCAAAGACATAAGCCACACGCCCAAGACGACAGAGCTGCAGTTGGTGTTGGGATGGCGAGGTCCGGGTTCCCAGGCTTGGTGGACACCTCACACCCACACACTGACACTCCTCCGGCACACACACGCGTGCACACAGCCAGTCCCCACAGCCTGGCAGGAGCAACGAGAACATCTGCCTCGCCCTGCGTCTGACTGTTGGCCCCGGGTCCCAGAAGACTCCCCAACCTCAAATCCACCCTCTGGGTCTCCTCCAGGTCTCCTGGGGTTACTGTGAGGCTCAGTGAATAGGTACGTAGTAGGGATCCTGGAGCAGTGGGGCACAAGGTAATGACTCAGTCCAACCCTGTCTGGGTGGTTCAGTTGGTTGGAGCATCATGCCAAACACAAAAGGCTGGGTTCAATCCCTGGTCATGGACTAGGCCTAGGTCACAGGTTTCATACCCCCATCCCTGGTCGGGGTGCTAATAGGAGGCAACTGATCAATATTTTTCTCCCTCTTCTCTCTAAAATCAATAAATAAGCCTTCTGGTCAAGATGGCAATGTAGGCAGACATGGCTTGCCTCTTCTCACAACCACATCAAAATTACAACTAAAATATAGAACAACCATCACTCAGGAACATCAGCAATCGAGTTGAATGGAAGTCTGACAACCAGGGAATTCAAGAAACCACATCCATCCAGACTGGTAGGAAGAGCACACATGTGGAACAGGCTGGCCCCCCACCCACGTGGATAAAAACTTGGGAGGGGCATCTCGGGAGTGAGGAGGACCAGACTGACACCCGGCCCCCAGCCCAGCATTCCAGTGCCAGGGACATAAGTCCCCACAGCTTCTGGCTGAGAAAACCAGCGGGGGTTGAGTTGGTGGAGGAGGCTGCTGGAGCCCTAAGCAGTTCCTCTTGGGGACTCACCCACGGACTCACCTACTCAGACTCGCTCCCACTAAGCTCTACAACCAGGGCAGCAGTTTGAAAGGCACCAGTGATACACAGGGAGACTGAAGTGTCTGGCATTGGGGACAAGAAGAGGCCATTG